TGCATGTTAGCCGAGCCCAAGGCGTTCCTGGTCAGCTGTTTCGGCTTTTCCTCTGTCGTCACCCATGATTGATTGATTCTCCTCCCAGAACGGAGAGAAGGAAGGAAATGAGCTGTCAGTCTCCTGACAGCATTGTAACAGGCAGAGCTCTGTTCTGCAACAGAGCAGCTCTGGTGTACCTCAAAAAATGTTTGAAAATTGTCCTTTTATAGGTCCTGACGCACAAGGAGCAGTCCTTTAGAAAACCACTGCCTGAATTTATACTTCTTTATTCCCAAATGTCTTCAAGGCAGGTAACATAAATGAGTGAAGGGAGTCAGGCATAAGAAATTGTAGGTACCTTATAATAACAAGGCTCCTCATTATAAAAAAAGGAAGTGCATAAGGATGATGAGATAAAGCATCAAATCTTCCACCTTAGTCCTGGGGATGGAATAGCCAGCGGTAAACCACGGGGCCCTAGAGAGCACACGCCCCACCCCAAGGAGGTAATTGTTACTCTGTTCTGCTATTGCTAATTTTAGGAATAAAAATCCTCTGTTTCCGGATAGTCCCACTTCTCAAGAAAAGCTGAATACCCAGATTTTATGTGCAAGTCCCCCTTTCTGAGATGGCTGAAGTGTTTTAAAACCCCGTGCAAGCTAAGGGAGATGGATTCAGTACATCGGGGCCACCAGGTTTTGACAGCTGCTTTCGTTCAAGACTGCTCAGCCCAAGACAGGCCAGAGACCTCGTGGGAGTCACCAGCCTAGGGAGAAAGCTCAGCTGCCCAGAGAGTGCCGGCTGTGAATGGTTTTTGAGCGACAGCGAGACTCCCTGAAAGTTCTTTTCCGTGTAGAACTTACTGTCAAAACTAACTGGAATTCAGGCAGATACGGGCTGTGTCTGACCAGGAAGTAAGTGCGGCCCACTTCTTGGTCCTGTCACCTGCCGGCAGCGTCTTTGGCATCATTTTCCAGATTTAGCATCTGTTTTCCACTCTTAACAAAATGGAACAGGGGAAATATTGGTACCCACTGGGTAGAATTTCAGAGATGGGACAACCCCTTCCCCACCCTGCCCTCCCCACCCCACACTCAGAGTAGAAGCTCTCAACCCATAGTTTGAAAGGTAAAGGCAAAGGAATGTAATTGAAAGGAATCAGACACGCTAGGCACAGTTAGGTGCTTTGACCCCAAAGGGTTTACCTTGACCCAGAGCTTCCTAACAGCGTCTTAACCTTCAGCTTTCCATTTTTCTGCCGTCAACACGGTAAGCCTGAGGCGTCTGTGTTGAAGGTAGGAAAGTGCTGGCCTTCCCTGACTCTCAGGTGCCCCCAGAGCTGCGTGGCCTCTTCCAGACCACAGAGGCCTGAGCACGAGGATAGTTCCAGGGGCCACGGCCCACCTCGCTGACATGACCTGGCAAAGCAAAACTAGCTATGACGCTCTTACAAATTATGGGCTCTTTCCTAGGAACGAACCATACGTAGCCAGACCATCCACGTCCGAAACCGAAGACCAAAGCATGATGGGGAAGTTTGTGAAAGTCGAAAGGCAGGTAGGTCTCTGTTTTGTAAATAAACATGATTACTAGAGGGGCGGAAGGGAGTAGGGAGGGATAAATTGGGAGTTCGAGATTTGTAGATACCAACTACTATATATAAAATAGATAAACAATAAGGTCCTACTGTATAGCACAGGGAGCTATATTCAATACCATGTAATGGCTTATAATGAAAAAAATATGAAAAAATATACATATATTTATATATATATGTATGTATAAGTGAATCACTGTGCTGTACACCAGAAACTAACACAACATTGCAAATGGACTATATGTCAATTGAAAAAAGAAGGAAAGGCAGGTAGGTCCTTCCTTCCCTCCCCAAAAAAACAAACACATGAAATCTATTTTCACATGCCATTTTTTTCATCAGGGGATGATATACTTGAAAGGGACGTGCGAATGAAATCTGAGATTTAGCACTTGACAGGCTGGGTGATCACATGCAAGTGAATTAGTTGCTCTGAGCCTCAGTTTCCTGGTCTGTCAGATGTGGATTTTACAACCCCACAAGGTAGCTGTGAGGATTAAATCGGCTGATACCTGTCCCTTACCTAGAGCAGTCGCTGGCGGACAGCAAACCCTCAACCGGATGGCGAGTATCATCCTCACGGTGTTTAAGGAATGTTCGTTCCTTTGTGCACACTTCCCGTGGTCGCCACCCTCCTTCTCTCAAAGTCCGAGTCTGTGTGGCCCGAGTGAAAGGCCTGGAGGAGGAGGGTATGGGTGGGGCTCATTCAGGGCAGAAAGAAACCAGCCCGCTCACTCACAGCACCTCCTGCCACTCACGCCTCATTTCCGCAGTAAAGCACCTTCTATTTCAGCATCGTTCACCCAGCTTTACACTAGATAAATAGCCTTTAGGATTTTCTGTAGGATCCCTATCAATCCTTTTATTTTATTCATAACCCCAAATTAGATCTGTGCAGGAGAGGCCAGAGGACATTTGAATGATTCTTCTTTTCCAGACTATCAAGAAGATCACTTTCCATCTTTAAATTATAATCTCAGCTTTTCCGTTTCCGAGCTCTGTGACACTTGACAAGTTACTTCATCTCTCTGGGCCTCTATTTCCTCACCTGTAAAGGAGAGATAATAATAGTATCCACCTCCTAGAGTTGTTAAGGAAATTAAGTAAGTTCATACCTTTGAAGTGCATACTGACTGCTCAGTAAGTGTTGGTTATTGTGAAGCCTTGGGCACCAGCTCAGCCATTCCCTGTTCTGCGCACCTTGTCTTCGTCTGTAAGAGGGGTGCTGCACCTGCCTGCAGGGCTGGCTCCCTGCAAGCTATGCATTGCCAGGGAAAGAACATCACGTGCGCACAGGCACGCTCACTGTGTCTCACGCTCACAGAGATTTCGGTGAGTTCTCAGTTTTGTAGGTCGGAACAGATAGGCACAACTTATCTTAGTGTCTCTTCCGCCAGCCTCCAGGGCCCCTGGGCACAGTCTCCAGATCTGAGAAGCTCATTCTTGTGAACCACTGCCTGCCCTTATCTCTTTGGGACTTAACCTCACCGTGTAGACGAAACGCACACGAACAATCTAGATGCTTCTAAGGGAGTGTTTGCAAATCAAGAACTCCTTATTAAAATCTCGTAATAACCTGTGATGAAAAAGAATCTGAAAAAGAGTATATATGTATGTATAACTGAATCACCAAAATGAACAAAACATTGTAAATCAACAATACTTCAATTTAAAAAAAAAAAGAACAACTCCAGCTCCTTGACCCAAACAGCAGCAGCCAGGCCACCCCCTTCTCGGGTAAAACTTGTCCTTGAACCCTCTCTCTGCTTCCAGGCATCACTTTCTGCAGAGCCCTTGCCTGGGTTGTTTCTAGATTAGCACTAAAACAAACGCAAGGCGAGAAATCAGGAGGCAGGAAGGAATCTGCTGTTGCTATTATTAAGACTTGCAGGAACCTCCTCCCCTTCTGGGAAGCAAACGCTGTAGTTTTTCCTCCCGACTCAGCACAAGAACCCCCAGGCCCAGAGGCAGCAGTGACTCCCGCTTCCTTGTGTTTTCCAGGTCCATGACATGGGGAAGAAACTGGACTTCCTCGTGGACATGCACATGCAGCACATGGAGCGGCTGCAGGTGCACGTCACCGAGTTCTACCCGGCCAAGGGGCCCTCCTCGCCCGGCGACGTGGAGAAGAGAGAGGACAACAGGGACTCTGACGTGAAAGCCATCATCTGTGACTATTCCGAGACAGGCCCCCCCGAGCTCCCCTGCAGCTTCCACCAGGTGCCCCTCGACAAAGTTGGCCCCTATGGGTTTTTCGCTCACGACCCAGGGAACCTGCCCCGCGGGGGACCCAGTTCCGGGAAGGGTCACGCCACCCTTTCCTCCTCGGCAGCGACGCACGTGGAAAGGCCCACGGTCCTGCCTATCCTGGCTCTTGTCGACTCTCGAGGGAGCTACCACTCCCAGGCTGAACTGCACGGCCCCTGCCCAGAGCGGGTGTCCCCCGGGCAGAGACGCAGCATCACCCGGGACAGTGACACACCCCTGTCCCTGATGTCGGTCAACCATGAGGAGCTGGAACGGTCTCCAAGTGGCTTCAGCATCTCCCAAGACAGAGATGATTATGTGTTTGGCCCGACTGGGGGGTCGAGCTGGATGAGGGAGAAACGGTACCTCGCCGAGGGTGAGACAGACACGGACACCGACCCCTTCACGCCCAGCGGTTCCATGCCTCTGTCGTCCACAGGGGACGGCATCTCTGACTCCATATGGACCCCTTCCAACAAACCCACTTAAAAGGGGTCATGGGCTGACTCCTCCTTGTAATGTAGACGGACTTTGTACAGCTTACTTGCTCTCACACCCGCCACGTACCGGTGAGACCACCGATGGCTGCATCAAATGCATGCATGTGCGTGGTGGCCCCACCTGGGCTGGGGCTTGTCACCGCCCTTTTCCTCCCCAGGTCACCACAACGAAGCTGCTTCCTTTCAAGCATGGTTTGCATGACTTTACACTATATAAATGGTACCGCTAATCTCTTCTAGGTTACACATTGATCTGCTGTTCTTTGAATCGTGACTGGACCAGGACAGGGAGAAATCACTGATGAGCTGTGCTGTGTCTGTGTGGCTGGCTGGTTGGGGTTTTGGTTTGGTAAGCAGAGACAGTAGTTTAAGTTATTTCTCGGATCACTGCCCCTTGCTGTAAAACACTCTGACAGTTAACTGTTGTCTAAAGCAAGCAAATAATTCTCTCAACAACAACAAAAAATGCATTGCATATCAATGAGGTTGCCTGCAGAGCTAACGCGAGAGAGGAACGAGGTCGTCATCACATCTCCGAAACCAAGAATTTAAAACATTATTTTATTAAGGAAAAACTGGGAAAACTTTCCAGAAGCTCTCAAAGGGACCTCACTTGGTCTGTCATTGTCAACTAGCATGCCTCAGTTTCCTCGTCTATAAAAGGTGGTGGCAATCCCAAGTGTTGCGTTTCAGATGAGTTGTGAACAGGCAGGAAGGAAACACACACACACATGCACACACATTAAAATGGTTCCCAATTTATGTAGCCAAAGATAACAAAATTTATCAGAAGTGGGGTGCCCCTCTGGGCAGGAGCTAAGTTCAGTGCCTTCAAAATGATGTTCCAACTCACATTCCTCCCCGTGACACTTGTACAAAATCTCAAATAGGAACGAGAGTCAAGAGGGCACACAGAAATTATCTGGTCCAAGTCCTTCCTTGTAAAAATGAGACACCTGAGGCTCCAGTCAAGAGATATGCCTGAGGTCACTCTGTTGTCCCCTGGAGAGCTGGGACTCAAAGCCCACGCAGCTGACTCGCTCCAGGCCCTGGTCTCCTCCCACCGCACCGGCTCTGCGGTTTCCATGACAGGACCCAGAAGTTGGGCCAAGCTGCCTGTGCTCTGTGGTGTATGGGAAGCACTCACGACACAATTTAGCCAGCGGAGAGGGCTGTCGGCTTTGATGGCAAAACACGCTTGCCTGATGCTTTGCAGTTTGGATTCAGAAAAAAAAAAAATACACAGCAAGCTACAACATTTCTTAATATGCAAATGGACGAAATTTCCAGAACCATCCAGTTTTACTCCTCTAGATTTTTTAAACCACGTGTAACCATAAGACCAGCTGAAGTGTGCACAGACAGGCTGGAGCACACTACTGTGTGAGGATTAAGATTAGGCAGGAGCCATCCTGTTGTGAGATGTTGCTACTCTCTGAAATGCGCTGATGTACAAGGTTTGTGTCAGGCTTGGGCTAATTAGCTGAGTGACTTCTCTGCAGTGTTACTGTCTCACTCTTTTCCCATAGCAAAGCCCTGATGGTGGGTGGTTGCCATGGCAACCATCAAGCTGATTGAAATAACCTAAGTGAATGTCTACATTCCACCAGTGTTCTCCATCACAGTCCTGTCAAGAGCCGTAGTAGCGGTGGCGGATGCAAGGTTGATGGTTACATCTTCACCTGATGCAGGGATCTTGCACGGTATTGGAAAGAAGAGATACTTCCTCAGAGCTTGGTTTCTTTCAGCCCACGCATCAATAGGTGCCTGTGTAAAAGGCTCAGAGTAGAGTAATAGTGAAGGCTCAGCTCCTGACTTCAGGAACTTGCAACCAAAGCCTGAAGTCCTTGGCACTGTGAGTGGTAGAAAGGGAGTTGTGCATGGAGAGCCCCACGAATGGATGGGTGTTGACTTTGAAGTCCAAGGTAGGAAATACACAAGAATAAGCAGGTACATCAGACGTGAAACCCCCTCCCCCATGGTTTGCCATTTAACTTTCTGGCCATCTGAAGGGCAAAGGGCATAGGTCATTTCATCTTCCTTCTGGCTCCCTTCAATATGTGCCACTGAGTGCCACTGAGGTTGATGACCTAAGAAACCTTATTCCCCTTCCTTAGAGCTTGGTTCTTGATTCTGACCTTTCTGGAATCTTCCAGAAGAAATGCTTGAGCTACCTACCATCTAACATGCCACTTACTTTTTTCTATTTTATTAATATTCTTGCAGAACTTACTGGCCTCAGTATCGTACAAACAGAGGCATCTTCCAGGAACTCAGTGGAGTTCCCAGCTGGGAGGGTGAGACTTTCTCATCCTCCAGTTAAAATTAGTTACCGTGGACCCAAAATTAGAGGATTGCCTTAAGTTCTTTCAATAACTGACAAAGGACTGGAATTTCTATTATTTTCCAAACCGCAGGAGGGCAGTCTAGCTTCCCTGCTGCATCCTCAGATCAGGATGGCAGGGACTGGGTCTGTGTTGATCACCTATCTCCAACGTGGAGTATGTTGTCCTTATCAGTGTAGACAAAGGCAAATTACATTTTCATGAATGAATAAATAATAAGAATCTTAAGAGCTGTCCTTTCCCATCCAAGAAAACAAACAAACAAAAATTGACCTTCTGGAATATTCTGCCTTGATACTCCTTTTTTTTTCCCCCCAGAAAACACATTCCAAAAATGCAAACCCAACCTACTCAAGGTGCCTGCCCATAGACACAATCGTCAACATGGCTGACCCTGATAAAGTAGAAAGTTAGGGTCTGAGATTGAATATAAGTTACAGGGAGAAACTGTGTGTGCCTCCGCAAAGATCTTTTTGTCAAACAGAAAAACAGCATGGTGGAATCATCCAACAGAATTAGTTAATAACTCAGCCTAAAATTATTCTACTTCAGATATACCAGTGGTTCTGAAGCTTGCCCAGGAAATTACAGGAGTTTCAGCAGAATACATGACATGGTAACAGATTAAGTCCATCATAAAAATGAGGTATGATTTTCTCAAGTGAAACTATGATCTTGTATGTATTCAGTTTCTGTGTGTGACAACATGATACACGCAAAATTTAAGTGGTCATCTTTCTAGCAAGATCAAAATTAATGGGGTGAATCCACTTTCCAAATGTTGGGTGAAAGGTGGTCCCATTGGACTGAGAAGAAAGTACTTTGATCAATTGTGAGTTTTGACTATCAGATACTAGCACCCAAGCAAACACTGAAGGTGTTTTTTTTTTAAATGATTGTGAGAGGAAAAGGAAAAGGAAAAACATCAAATTGAGAACGTTCTAGTCACTAACTGTATTCGTTCTGGAAACTGAGAGATTAGACTTATTAGATGTGGCCCTAGTTTTCATGAAAACATAGCCAGAAAATTGCAAGGTATACTGTCATTCAAATGAGCTAATCAAAAATTACACTTCCAATGCCTATTTTGTGTCAGGCACTGTAAGTTGAAAAAATACTTGCAGAAAATGCTAATGTAACAGGATCTACTCACAACTTGCCAAGACCACTCTCAGAATCCCATGCCACTCTGATGAGTGCGACAAAAACATTCATTTGTTTATTCATTTACAAGATTTATTAAGTACCGCCTACCATCAAAAAGAGGAATCTGGTGGCCTTGAATTATAGGAGGTCCCCTCAAACTATGTCTACCAGAAATGGAAAGAAACTGATTTCATCCCTGAAGACAACGCTGTACAGACAAGAATGCTTCCTAGATTGGAATCAGTGAGAGACTGAACATGGAGGGGAGTGAAAGCAAAAAGTCTGCTTCAAAGTGCTAACGGCACCGTCAGCTCGGGGAAGGCTGAGTGAGCTGTAAGGGGGCTTTGAGTTTGGGGTCAGTGGTTTGGACTTTATAGCGCCAGATAAGCTGTTCAAGAAGGAGGCTCTAGAGTATCTGAGAAGGTTCTTGGAGAAACCAGCTTTCTCTTTCTCTCCGAATCCCTACCATGATTGACACCAGGCAAGGCGTTGGTCTACTTCCATTCCATTGTGTTGACCAAGAGAAGCTTATCCTAAACGCCAATCGACGGCATCTATTTTGAGAGAAAAGGGTCACTCTGCTTCTGGAAACCTGCAGATCCAAATCTCCTGGGGCAAGAGAAGAAACGTGTCCAGTGCCCTAAGAAGTCCACTGCACTTCAGACAGCGCTGCCGAGCACACCCAGGCTTCCCCCAGAAGGTGCCACATAGTTGGCCTTTGTTTTCCATAAATACACGTCCAAGGCACCTAGAACCACAAGCATTGGCTTTGCTTCTGAACCCCAGGCATCCTGAAGAACTGGTCCCGTGTCCTCACTTGTCTTTGAAGGCTTGCTTGTTTCAGGATGAACATTTTAAAGACTGTAAGTCCTTTCTGTGTATTCAAATCAACCCAAAGTTCTTGTGCCACTTACGTTACACTATTCAAAACTGAGCCAACAGTCCCCTAAATCCGGTAGCAGGTATCATGATGCCCAGGCTAGAACACGTTAGGAGCCAGGCGATCTGCATAGCTTTAGTGGGTTAGGAAACTAGTGATGCCAAATAGATCCCTGGATGAAAATTTGAGTTTTAGGATGTTCAGACATACTTGACTTTTCTGACACGTTATGATTTTCAAAAGAGACAATCAATACAGATAAAGCCACTAGGAC